CATTTTGGAACCGCCGATCAGCTGTTCGCTATGCTTTGATCGCATCCGCACGATCATCGCATAGCGAAAAAAGCCCATAGGGGTCATCGCTGAGCGAACGCTCCGGTGATGGCCCACAACCCCTTGCTATGCGGTTTCATCGCATAGCGAGGCGCTCGCTATGCGAGGCACCACTGTATTCAGTAGAGGTGTGTAGTTCGGTGGATTTTTTTTGACTACAATTCCCAGAATGCCCCAGGGCAGAATTCTTGAAGTTGTAGTCCAAAAACTATAAATCCACAGAACCTCTACTATTCAGTATTGGATTACTGAACAATTAGTCTGGTTTAAAGCAGCATTTAAGGAGGACAAGACAAACCGAGATCGTCTTTGATCTCGGAAGGGCACACACCAGTCAAGATTGTCACCGGCTACCTGGCGACCGCATTTGGTTGGAAATCTTGCCTTGTTTCATACTTCTGTGAGAGTCCACTGCCACTAAACACCTTGCTGAAGTGGTGCCCATTCAGGTGCAGGTTACTCTCAAACGTCACATCGACCTGGATCCATCAGCGAGGGTTCCCACAGTTGAAACAAAGGCATCCTTTGTGAAATACGGATTTAGGGTGGGTGATAGGAACGGGTGGGGAAGAATGTCTACCTGGCTCCATTACAGCGGACTCCAAAACAGGAACGACCTTCGGTTCTGCCAACCCTTTCTCCGTGTCATCTGATCTTCGGGTTTTAAAGGCAGCATTCAGAAGCATTCTAAAAGGAACACAAAACAGAAAAACCAGGTCACGCGCATTCGGGTATCAAGAGGGGGAATGATTTCCCTTTCCGAAACACATGCAAAACGAAGAGGTTAATTAGCTACAGAAACCGGTGGGCCACAAGAGCCATTTTCCTGCTAATGAGGGGAAACACAAACATGCCCAGACAGTAGAGTCCGATAGATTTTTTTTTTTTTGCATTATCGTTCTTTTCCAAAACGAGGTGCACAGAGGGTTGGTAGAAACTGGGGACTGTAGGGCCAATTCTTTTCCAAAACGAGGTGCACAGAGGCTTGGTAGAAACTGGGGACTGTAGGGCCAAGCAGAGGTCGTGACCTTGCATTTTAAGAAAATAATCATCAGAGGCAGCTGACTTAAAGAGTTAGCCAAAGGCTTCAGCTGTCTGAAGGAACATTCATGTCCCTGAGCAAAAAGCTACAGATTTTCTGTCCGCGACCTCGGAGTGCTTCAGCGTTGGTCTTGCCCTTGAATAAGAGACAATGCCACAGTCCTCCCAAGTCAGGATAAATTTCTCTCCCCACACCCTGTAAGAAAACTTTGAAAGCAACGACTGGGCTCTAGCTGGGGAAATAATGAAATAATGTGTCACACCTCTGAGGCGTGTGGCTGCATACTCCGTGCAGCGTCGCTCGTCCTCTGCACGCTCAAGAGTGGGTATTTTCAGCCCCTTTGGTCCCTTTTGGCGGGAAGCCCGCGTGGGGGGGATGGAGTTGTACGCACGCGAGAGGGGTGAAGGAAGGTGACACCCATGTCTTTGTTTGGGTTGAAACAGGCTCTCTCTTGACACTGTGTGAGAGACATCTCGCCTCTCCGCATGAGAGCAAGACCACCTGGTTTTCCCTGCATGCTTCCAATAAACTGGACAGGTGACCTCCAGCACCTTTTTGCTGTCCGTGAAGCAACACAAGCACAAATTCCACCCGTTTTGTCTCAAGTCCATGCATCAACGAGGAATTTTCATATGCCACCACAGCACCTCACCTCCTCGTGAGAGCAAGCCAGAGAATGGTTTTCTCACTGTAATTTCTGTGATTCGCACAAACTCTCTGCCCCAAACCGGTTGTGTCCTTTGCCTCTGAGAATAAGGCACATGTGTGTGCATGCACACACACTCAGGAACACACACAGTAGTACCTTCAGGTCATTTTAAAACATACAACATCTTTTAGAGCTATTAAAAGGTATACTTGCAAAAATGATATCATTTCTGGGGTGGGCAGAAGGAGAAACTATTCCTGGTTTTATCTTAGCATTCTACTCTAGCACTTTTTCGTGGGGGGTTTATTTGTTTATTTTTTGCCGTTTTTCTCATCATGGGAGGTCCCACCTGCAGTCTGAAGCCAGGCTGTGGAGAGACAACCTCCTGCCTCCTTTCGTTCTCAGAACTGGGCCACAAATGTGTGATTTTGCACGACTGGAAAGGAGGAGAACAAGCCCCAGATCCAGATGGAATACAGACTGTAGAAAGAAAGCACCCCTTGGAAATGTGAAAACGGGAAACAAGGCTTCTGCATCATCTTCGTCAAAATGTAGGTATTGACTGGAGCACAAGATGCTTGCAGGGGAGAAACAGTATATAAAAGACCCCGCACCCGTTAGAAATATGGGTATGATTGGGGGCAAGTGGTGTCGGGGGGGGGGGAAGGAAAACCAGGGGCTCACTTTGTCCACCAGTGTAAATTATTTACACTTTGAACTCAGAGCCTTCCTCAGGCACCAAAAAAGAAGACTTGCAGCACCGTGCAACATTCTCCTCTCAGATTGGCTGTCCGTATTGAACCGCTCAATTACCCAGTCCCTGCATAAATAAACGACCCCAGGCGTCTGCCCTTCCTTGGTCTACCGTTTTCGACACTGCGAAACTGTAGAAAAGGAAATCTGTAATGACTGCAGATTGCTGTAGCTGGGATGACTTTATTCAAAGATGAAAGGGACTGAATGGGGGTTGAGGGAGGGAAGTAGGAAATGTTTAATTTCTGACCAATCACCATTGCTGATGAGCCTCATGTGGGTGTAAGTGATGGAACAGGGTTTCAGCCAACCTGTCAGATTTAAAGTTTCTGATATCTTAGACTTCAGGGTATGTCGCATACAGTCTATTGCCAACATATCGGTTAATGCATCTCTTGATCATCCTCATAGACTCACAGGGCTGGAAGCGATCCTACAGATCATGGAGCCCAGACCCTGTGAAAAAGAGGCACAGTGGGGAATTGAATACCCAACCTTTGGTTTTGCAGCCAGAGAGAAGTCTTCCCCTTAAAATCATTCTTGCTGTGGTACTGATGCATCCATCCGTTAAGGTTCGACATTACCATTTTACTGTTTTAATATTACAGTAGGGCCTGTCTATCTGCTGGATCAGCATCCGTAGATTCGCTTAGCTGCTGCCTGAAAACATTAAATAAAAAACCCACAAAAATATGGGTTTCTACATATTTCCACTGTGTATTTAGCAGAACTAGCCACTAAAGGGAACCAGAGACAATGCGATGTACAGTGTGAGCATTTTTCAGCGTTCACGGTGAGGAGGCGCTTGGAACTGATCCCCAACGGATACCACCATCCTGCTATACTTTTGAAACATTGGTTTTTAAAAGATCAGATGCCTTCCTCCTGTTCAGTGCAGAAGTAGCAATGTTAATACGAACACTTTAAATCTGTGTTATTTCCACGCTCCATTGAGACGATGCCTTTAAGAATTCCAGGCCAGAGAAGAAACATTTCTGATGTTCTTATGCGTACCCTTTCTTTTGAGCTCTGCACTCATGCAACGGAATACCCAATTAGCACCAGCAGTAGGTAATGGCACACCCGCAGCAACACTGGCTGATTGCGAGCACAGGCACCAGTCCAACGCATGAAGAATCATCCTCTTTCCACATACAGTAAAAACCTTGATTCACTTAGTAACACTGCTGATTCAAAGGAGCGTCAAATAAACACTGCACTTAAAATCTCTCTTCCTTCCCTTCCCCTGTCCTTGTCACTAACTGGGGCTGGGGGGGGACCTCAATCGTTGTAGGCTAATGGAATTGTCTAATGCTGAGCAGCTGTACATTTTTAATGCAACATGGGGGGGGGAAGGGAATTTCAAATAATATATATATGAATAGCTCTACGGAGACAACATATGGTTTTATGTAATCTTGCTATGAATTTTTTAAACCGAGTGTCCTAATTCATGTTGGATTGACAGAACTTTTTTTTTAAAAAATCCATCCTATGTGGTTAGAGTTCTACTTGCACAACATGTGCAATATTTTATCACTGCAGTGCCTACCAGAAAGAATGAGCCGGTGACGAGAGAGCCTAAGACTGACTTGTTCACTAGCCAACGGTCAACAAGAATGCGAGATGCGAACAGCCGATAACGATGCGAGAGGTCATGGAAATCAAATGAAACTTGGTGGGAAAACCCCGTCTGCTTTTGGTTGAAATGCCTACCTGCACACATGGCGATTCACAAAAACTGAATGCAACCAACCACCCAGGTATGGCAATCAGAGCCTTGTGGTGCAGTATTGCAGTAAAGACTCTGCTCATGACCTGACTTCAATCTTGGTCTCAGGTACCGTGTTTCTCCAAAAATAAGACAGTTCATGACCTGACTTCAATCTTGGGCTCAGGTACCGTGTTTCCCCAAAAATAAGACAGGGTCTTACATTAATTTTTGCTCCCAAAACCCCATTAGGGCTTATTTTCAGGGGATGTTTTATTTTTTGCATGTACAACAATCTACATTTATTCAGATACAGTCATGGCATCTTCTGGTTGCTGCACAAAGGTGGAGGGTGGGGTTTCATTTCACAGGGGTTATTTTTGGGGTAGAGCTTATATGACGAGCATCCTGAAAAAATCATACTAGGGGTTATTTTCAGGTTAGGTCCCTTATTTTCGGGGATAACAGGGTAGCTGGCTCAAGGATAACTCATCCTTCCATCATTCTGAGGTTGGTAAATTGATCGCACACCTTGCAAGCAAAGGGAGATACGTGTAAGCCTGTATAATTAAATTGTAAACAGCCCATGCCCACCTTGCAGGCAAAGGGAGATACGTGTAGCCTGTATAATTAAATTGTAAACAGCCCACAGAGTACTTTAAGTGCTATGGAGCGGTATATAAGTAGCACACTTTGCTTTGCTTTCGGACTGATCAAAAACTGGCGAACGTTGCCTACAAAATCTTCACCCCTTCTTGGAAGATAAAGAAGGGGTGGACATTTCATCCGGTTACTGGCAGACCACCTTCCATGGCTGGCTGGGTTTGTGTGCACACCTGTTCTATGGAGACGTTCTCTGTGTTGGTTTCTACCCTGTTTCCCTGAAAATAAGACCTAACCTGAAAATAAGCCCTAGTAGGATTTTTCAGGATGCCCATAATATACCGTAAGTCCTACCCCAAAAATAAGCCTCAGTTAAGAGAAGGCAGTTAGGCTCTGCACAGGGAGGCTCTTAAAGAAAACCTACCAGTCCCATAATCTTTTGCAACTCCCATGGAGTTAGCTCCATCCACCCTTTCTTCTGTCTCCTCTGCAGGACAAAAACAGTATCTGAATTCATTAGCTTAAGAACTTCAAAGCACCTGTCACAACTTTGATTTCTTGATTAAAGCCCACAAACATCTTCCAGGGTGAATTTCTGCAGACTTCTGGGCCCGTAGTCCCCAGATTTAAAAAATCCTACACCTAAATGCCACAGCATACTAAAGACTCCCCTCTGATCCAAGACTGGAATTGTTCCCATTTGGACCATATCTTCAAACTCAGCATGCCTATGAGAAAGCAACTTTCTGAAGTGTTGCCTCCTCTCTCCTTCAACAAACTCCATTTTTGAGCATCTCACTGAGCCATAGAGCCCTACATGAGAATGAGGTCTGGAAACCTGCTTGCATTGTTCCCAAAAGCTGTGATTCTCAGCAAGTGGAATTCTGAAGACCAGCTGATCCTTAGCTTTATCCACTCTTCCTGGGCAC